TATAAAAATATAAAATAATTTTACTCGACCGAAATCTGATGAAATACCGACTTAGATGGTAATCCATGACAATGATTTACTTTGAATCAATAGAAAAATATTCAAAATTATATGTCCAGTCAAACTGATTAAAAATCTACAACTTGGCTGACCATCTCTATCCTATAGCATCTGGTCACCATCTTTTCGCCGTACCCAACTGATTTATATTTGACATTTTGCGACATAAACTCTTGGGGAGAAATCACACCGTTAGACTGTGAAGATGAAGTTTTGCCTCTCAAGTTGTCGATTGTAAGTTCAATCCCATGCAATCACTTAATTTTTTTTGTTGTTGTTGTAAAGGCTATAAACTTCACAAGTGCAATCAGAAATAACTGCAATATAAGCATTCATTGCCAATGTTTAAAAAATTAACCATCTTAAAATGGAAACTATCCATTCCTCAAGTTAGTGCAATGTTTTGGCTATGAGATATGACTTGTGCAATGTGCAGGTGTTTGTCAGTAGCTGCATAAGGTAAATTCTTCAGGCTTCAGGCATTTCATGTTAAATATGTTAATGCATAGAGGAGAGTTTCAAGGTCCCCATCCCCATTTCTCCTCTCCATCTCACCTCCCCATCCCCCCTCCCCCCACACTCGTCATCGTTCTTGGGAGAAAATTCTCATTCTGCCCCAGTTAAGCTTTATTCGGACGAAAAATACACTGAGTGTCAATTTTTGAAATGTCAATCTTCAGCAACTATAATAAGAAGAAAAAATTATTTATAAAAATGCTTCACTTATTTTATACAAACACACAAGGTCTCACAAAAAATATTGAACGGTTTAGAGAAATTTCGAGAGAAAAAATGTTTGATGTTTTATGCCTTACTGAGACACATATTACTGAAGATATTCCAAATTCTAAAATTGAAATAAATGGATTTAATATGGTTCAAATTAATTCCCATAGCAGACGTACAGGAGGCGTCGTAATTTACGTAAAAAATAATTTAAAATTTATTGTAACAACGAAGGAATGTTCAACAAAAGCTTGGATAATTACAATTAAAATAGATGAATATGCATTGAATATTACAGGAATTTACAGATCTCCTTCACAAAAACCGTCAGAATTTTTCCAATTTCTAGATTCTTACATCCATAAAAATCTCGATTGCATTAATGATAATCAAATCATAATTGGAGATATGAACTTGAATGTTGCAAAAACTCAGGAGAGGAAAATCAAAGATTATTTGAATATTCTTCGACGTCATGATTTAATACAAGTTATAACCGAGTACACAAGATACGATAAAAAGAATAATTCTTCATCGATTATTGTTAATAATTGTTAATAATAAAAATGTTATGCATCAAGTAAGGAAGAAAGGCAAAATTTCTGATCATTATTTAATAATGGTAACTTATAAAATGGCTTAATGAGAGTTAAGGTTGATCCCCAAGAATTTCTAGTCATTTATTGTGCTTTAGGGCATGCCACTTGGTTTGCCCTTATACAAATTTTGACTAGCTTTATGACATTGATGGTCACTGGATTTTTTGGAAGAATTAAGAATTTACTTGACACATTGCACAACCTTTTTTTTATCTGATAGCCAAAACATTAAAACGACTTGAAGAACGGATAGTATCCATATCAAGATGGTTAAGTTTATAGGTGTATTTTTGCAAAACATTAGCAATGAACTCTTATATTGCAATTATTTCTGATTGCTCTTATGAAGCTCATTTGTGCAGTCGTTTGGAACTTTATTCTGAAAAAATATTGCCAGTCTCAGCTATGTGTCAACTATCCTCAGCATTACTAACATTCAAATTTATTAATAACTCTGCAAAAATTAATTTTCCGTTAGTGTTTGTCAGCCAAACACATAGACATATGACAAGAAATGGCAACAATTTGGTCATTCAGAAAGTGAACACTAAACTTGGTGCTCAAAATTATTTTGTCAGAGCGTTTTCAGAATTTAATGAAATTCCAGCAGAAGTAAAGAAATTTAATAGTATCAATTTATTTAAAGCGCGTTTAAGAGAGCATCTATATTTAAAGAACCTATGGTGTGATATGTAATCAATTAGAATAAGTTAATTTCGTAACGTTATGCATTTGTAAAATACAGTTTAATACTAAATTACAATAAATGAATCAATTAAAAAAAAAAAAAAAAAAAGCTTACAGCCGTTACAACAACAACAAAAAAAAACTAAGTGATTGCATGGGATTGAACTTACAATCGACAGCTTGAGAGGCGAAACTTCATCTTCACAGTTTAACGGTTTGAATTCTCCCCAAGAGTTTATGTCGCAAAATGTCAAATATAAATCAGTTGGGTACGGCGAAAGGATGGTGACTAGATGCTATAGGATAGAGATGGTCAGCCAAGTTGTAGATTTTTAATCAGTTTGACTAGACATATAATTTTGAATGTTTTTCTATTAATTCAAAGTAAATCATTGTCATGGATTACCATCTAAGTCAATGTTGTCCAAACTGTGTGCAGTTGCACGCACACACACATATCAATAGGTGAGCCGTGGAAAAATATTAAAAATCCCAAAAATAGGTAATTTTACAGATGTTTGTAGATTTTACAATAGATAAAATGGCCTGAAGGGCAGAATCAAAAAAAACGTCGATTTTAAAGAAAAATTTATAGGTGTGCCGTAAAAAGTATATCTAAAGTCAAAGTGTGCCGTGGCTGAAAATAGTTTGGACAACATTGATCTAAACGGTATTTCATTAGATTTTATTATTTTTGGCCTTCTGTTTTCGAGTCTTACACAATAAAACAATTAGTTTTTTGATAAAATTATACACGATATAGATGAAGGATGTTATTTGAATGGAGAAAAAAAAATAATAATATTTTTAATTTTTTTTTGGTTTTAAAATTGAGAAAATCGGAAAAAAAATTTTATTTATTTTTAAATTATTTACAATTGTTAAAACTTTGAATATGATTGTTGATATGTTTGACGAAATTTCTTTTTGATTTAATAAATTTTGCACACAAATCACATTGAAATGGAACTTTTGAATGAACAACTTTCATGTGAATTTTAAAAAACTTCAAATTTCGATGAAATGATGGACATTTTTCACATTTAATTGGGTTTTTCATAGTTGCAAATTTTTTATCTCGAATATCGTGAGTTTTTTGATGAGCCTTTAAAAGTGACTTAAGGTCCGTTGCATAATCACATCGTTGACATTTTAATGGTTTTTGACGGTACTTGTCGTGTGTTTTTTGATGAACAATTAAACAAATTTTTATGTTGAATTTCTTGTCACACAATTTACATTCGAATCTGCCTGGATTGTCATGATAATCTTTAATATGATAATCAAGTATTAATTTATTTGAATACTTTTTGTTGCAGATTTGACACTCAAACTTCTTATCATGAGTATGTACATGCATTTTTAAAATTTGACGCATTTTAAAAGTTTTTAAACAAATTTTGCATTGAAAATTTTTTTCAGTTTCATGAAAAAATTTTAAATGACTTTTTGCGGAATTATACTTGAGCTTTTTGTTACAAATTTTACATTCAACTATTTGATGAACTCGCATGTGCTGAAAAAGACACATTTTTTTCTTAAAGATTTTTCCATCAAAATCACATTCAAATTGTTGAAATTGTCCATCCGGATGCTTATTTTTCATATGACGATCCAACAACGTCTGCGTAAAGAATTTCTCACTGCATATTGAGCAAAAGATAATCTTAAATTCCTCAAAATGCTTATTTTTGACATGCGTACTCAAACTTGATTTTGTCGAAAATTCTTTTTGACAAAACTTGCAGGTTTTACTTCCATTTTTGATCAATTCAATTTTTTTAGATTTATTTAATGAAATTTCCTCAAAAAGATTCAGATTCATACCGAATTGACCTTTTATGTCCTTAATGATCACTTGACATTCTCGAATTTCTGATGACTTTTTTAAAATTTTATCATTTTCATTACAATTTGCTGACTTTTGAACCTTTGGAATTACATTGAAATATTCTGAAATTTTTCTTGACATTCCTGACGACTGCATCCTTTAATGGATGCTTGTTAACTGACAAGTTCAATGAAAAAACAACTCAACTTTTATAAGTCAATTTGGTAAACTTGAATTGAGATTTTTAAGAAAGTTTCTGAATTTTTTGATTTTAATTTTTATTTTATTTTTTTTTTGTATTTTTTTTTAACTTTTTATTATCTACTCAAGTTCTGAGCGGGAAAAAAGAGATTCACAAGACAACGTCATTACTAGCCCGGGTGGACACAGCCAGTTAAAGTCCATTATTGGACAATCATTTAACAGTCTTTTAACTTGTCGAAATATATACGATATAGAGAACTATACGTTAACTAGACTTTAACTGGACATTCATGCTAATCAATCAAGTGTTCGAAACTCAAAAATAATTTTCCTTACTTTTTTGACCATATATATATATAATGTGTGAAGGGCCCAGCCTTTCAGCTGGAGGCACTGCGATTCAAATTAGAACAGAATCTATTGTACCACACCCTTTAGACCTACAGTTTATAGTGGGATCCGAACCACTTGCAAGCTCTGTACATTGCAAAGACACGAGTACGTCATAAGACCTGATGTACCCTGCAATGTACCTAGTCACAATCCGTGTGCGCAAGATGCCGTAAGGAAGTCATCCAGATGCTAGTATATCCTTGTATACCTAGCAAAGGAGGCATATTCTATGGAAAAAGAGCTACGAAAATTAGATGTTTTGGTCTGGGATTGAACTTAGGACTTTTAAGCTCTTGGTTCGTAAGAGTTGGTGAGATAGCTTTTAATTAAATCAAGTGCTTTTCCATGGATTCCCATTTTCTCTAGTTTATATAAGAGCAATTTATGGTTGATACTATCAGATGCCTTAGATATATCTAGAAATACAGCAACGACATATTTATTCTTATCCAGTGCTTTTGAAATTAAGCTGTACAGCTTGCATAAAGCATCTTGTGTTCCATAGTGCCTTCTAAATCCAAACTGTATCTCATCAATTTGATTATTTTTAAAGATGAAGCTCTCAATTTTGTCAAACAGTACTCGTTCAATAACTTTATTTATGGTGGGTAAGAGGGAAATCCCTCTATAGTTGTCAATGTTAACTTTGCTTCCATTTTTAAAAATTGGCTTAACTTTCGCAATTTTAAGAATGTCTGGATAAGTTGCACTTTCAAACATGTCGTTGATTAGAAGTGCTAGAACTGGAGCTAGAATGTCAACATTGTCTTTCCATACCTTAACGGGAATTCCATCGCTACTTGTAGCTTTCTTCAAAGACAGATCATTCATTAAAAAAGCTATTTCACACTCCGTCACAGGATGGAATATAATGCTATTTATAAGAGGCTCACCCAAATAATCTAATTTAATTTGATTAGTGTTGCATACAACTGAAGTGAATTTTTTTTGGAAAAGATTTGCAATTTCTCTTTTGTCAAAAATCATGTTGCCGTCATCTTGAATTATAAAGTCAGGTTAGGGACCGTCCAACGAGGGGGGAAAGGTCAACAAGAAAAGAACAATAGAAATTCCTGGAATCTCATTAGGGATCGTTCACTTATGACGTCCGATATTAACGGTCATTTTTCAAAAAAGAACAATAGAATTCCAGGAATTTCTATTGTTCTTTTCTCGTTAACCCCACCCCCCCCCCCCCCCCCCTGGACGTCATAGGTGAACGGCCCCTTATTATTTTTTGAAAAATGACTTTTTTGATGCAATTGCAAGTTTCCAAATATTTTCACCATCCAAATGATTAAATATTGAATGAATATTGTCGTAACACATTTGATCCATACTGCTACTTTATGAGTGATCTAAAGCGATAGTCATGAAAAAACCTTAAATATCAACTTATTTTATACTATTTGTATTACAGTTATGTGGACTGTTATCTACAATGACTAATACAAGCACAATAAATACAAGCATTATAGAAGATTCTTTAAGGGGTCGATCAATTATGACGTCCAAGATTTAGAGAAGCGCATCTTGGATTTTCTGAAAAAAGAAAAATTTTCTTATTTAAATTTTGTGACACGACAGTTGAGGGGGTTTAAAAAATACATTTTTTGACGGACGTCATAAGTGAATGGTCATAAGTGGAATAAGATATTTCAATAATTTCAACATCATTTCCAAACATATTCTTAGCATCATTCACTACTTCCTTCGCGACACTCAGCTTCTTCAAATTTGGTGCTAGATTCTTGATAATTTTTAAACTTTCTTTTGATTTGTCCTTTCCAGTCGTCAAGTAAATTTCGTTCAAATTTGTAAAATATGAAAGACACTCGGTCAGAATGTCATTAACATTGTTATTGGTCCTTAGCGACAATCTTGTAATGTTCTTGCAATTCTTGTACAGACCAATGAACTTAGTTGGATGACTATAAGATCCACTGTGATCAAGAATGTCCAGGTTTTTAAGGTTTTGAAATATATCGGTGCGAGGTTTGACAATGTCATTTATATTTGACTGATTAAGGTGAGTTTGAGTGAGGAACAAGGTAAATGATTGAATTGCTGGAAAAAATAAAGTTTCATTAAAATTACTTCTTTCCAAATTTGATCACATCTATAATAATTGGTATGGGATAGGGTATGGGATAGGGTATGGGATAGGGTATGGGATAGGGTATGGGATAGGGTATGGGATAGGGTATGGGATAGGGTATGGGATAGGGTATGGGATAGGGTATGGGATAGGGTATGGGATAGGGTATGGGATAGGGTATGAGATAGGGTATGGGATAGGGTATGGGATCTATTTACTTACATGGAAATTGCCTGAAAATCTCAAATGCAGCAGTTATATTCACTTCCCATGCTGTTAATTCCTTAACATCTTGCTTTCTTCCATTCAAAATCAACGGAATCTGTCCAAAGTTAAACTTTTCCAATTTTATTTCCTCAATGATAAACTTAATCATTTCCCCACCATCGTAATCATAAGGCAGCTTGTGGATGGTCAATTCCTTTAAATATCCTTGCTGTGACTTTAAAAAGTCTAATCGTGGAATTGTCTGTGTCCAATTAAAAGTCATCAAAAAAGCTTCCAATTTTTGAATTTTAAATGGAAATTGTCCACAATCAAAGTAGCCAGAAGTTCCAGTTCCATCCATGACAAGATGACTAAGACTTGGTAAATTTGAAGCCATTTTATTAAAATCAGTAATTGAGAATGCTATGGAAGTCCACTTATGTCTGCAAATGCCAATTTTTTCAACTGAGCGTTGATTTTTGAAATATTTGAATAAATTTCCACGACATTCATCGAATATTATTGACTTTAGTGTCTGAATGGGAGGCAGTGACCTGATTATTTTACCACCAATTGAACATTTTTCCAAATGGAGCGATTTAAGACTCAGCATTGGTAAGAATGTTTGAGCAAAACTCTCAAAACTATTAAAAGTTACATTTTGAAGTTTCAAAATTTCTATCGAAAAGTTAAACATTTTCAACAATTTATGCAACTTAGTTGAACTGTCAACCGTAAAGCTGGACAAAGTGACATTTTTAAATGAGATATTAGCGATTGGCTTGTTTTGTAAAAGTTGATTTATATTTTCTGGATAAATAAATAAGTTGAATTTTAGCAAAAGTTTCGATGAAGATGAGAAAATGTTGCCAAAACTAGAACAAAATTTTAAAAAAAATAAAATTGTTTTAAGATTTAAAAGTAAAAATTTAAACTTTCATAAAAAAAATTAAAACTTATTAATTTATTAAAAAAAATTCGTCGAATTCATCAAGGGGCTGTTCACTTATTACGTTCGCATTTTAATGGAAAGGGAGGGGGGGTGTCAAGAAGTATGTAACGTTCTAACTGTCGTCTGTCTTTTAAAAAAAGTTCACGAAAAAAAATTGTTTACAAATTCACACCAAAAACATTTTTTTTAATTTTCCACCTTTGTAATGATAAAATAAATTATGAACGTTCAGAGGGGGGTGGGGATATGAGTTGTAGCATATTGTAACAAGAGGGGGTGAAAAAAAACTCGTTTTTTTGCGTAACGTAATAAGTGAACGGCCCCAAATGAATTATTTTCAAAATCTATGATTAAGTTAGGGGTCATTCACTTAAGACGTACGGAGAGGAGGAGGGGGGGGGGGGGGGGGGGGGAGGTCAGCAAAAAAACAACTAATTAATGCAAATTCATTGTTTTTTTTTTTGAAAAATGACCGTTAATTATGGACGTCATAAATAAACGATTTTATGCCTGGTCCTTTTAAAATTGTAAATTACAAAATATTTAAATTAAACAAAAATAGAAAAACTTCAAAAATTCAAAATTTCCAAAAAAAATAAAATTTTTTATAAATAAAAAAATAAATAATCTTTAAATTTAAAAAAAAATTGAGTAATATTTTAAATTTATTAAAATTTTACTCACAATGTCGAAGCCTGCATAACACTGAACATTGAGTCATTATCTAAATATTCAAAGATCATAATAATAACATCGTCTGGGAGGTGATTCATCTTTGTTTTGAATTTTTTATTAGCAATTCTTTAAATGTTACTTTCAATGATATAAAACAATTTAAAAAAATTATATTTTCTTATTTATTTAAATTAACTCGATTGTTTTCTTGACAAATTTGTATTATAGCAATTAAGGAAATACAGCGACAACTGAATCACAAAAAATAAACTGAATGCTTACAAAAAGAAAAAAAAATAAAAATTCAATCTCTCACTAAAATGTCCAAAACAAAGAGAGGGAACAATATTTATAAATTGTAAGAAATTTACATTAATTTTACTGTTTAAATTTAAATTCATGAGAGCCGTTTTAATGTTTGTAGTAATTTTAACATAATTAATTAAGAAGAGATTTCTTTAAGGTATTTATACACTGAAACACTTCTAAACACCACCAGTTTGTATATGTTAAAGGATCCTAAGGTTTTTTGTGCCTTTTTAATCAGTTTAAGTACTGATTCAGAAGGCTTTTTCCTTAGGAGCAATGCAAAAGAGATTAATAAATTAAATTAAATTAAAATTAAAAAAGAGAATTTTCTCATTTTCAAGAAATTATCTCCAAACATGAAAAGGAAAGATTTTGAGTTGGTCAGCATTTTTAACAACTAACAAGAATATGTTTAAATTGATGACAATATTCAGCTTAAGATTTATGTGCCAAGTTCAATATCAGGCCAAGTCGAGTTTTAGAAGCTCTTTTTCCAATTCACCTTTTTCTAGTTACGAAGCTCGGTTCATGAGTTTGGTGTTGTTTTGAAGTCTTCGGCATAGAATATGCCTCCTTTGCTAGGTATACAAGGATATGCTAGCATCTGGAGGATTTCATTACAGCATCTTGAGCACACAAATTGTGACTAGGTACATTGCAGGGTACATCAGGTCTATAGACGTACTCGTGTCTTGGCATCGTGCTTATTCAGAGAAATCTTTAATTTTTGAGAAAGTGGACTTTCATGTGACTGATAACGCTTTTCTTGACTTTGATAAACTTTGCACATAAATCGCATTGAAACAAAACTTTTGGATGAACATTTAACTTGTGACCATTTAAAGCTTTAGAATCCCTACAAAATATTTTACATTTTTCACATTGAAGTGGATTTTTCATAGCCAAAAACTTTTTGTCTTGACGATTGTGAAAAATTTGATGCTTTTTAAAATATCTTTTGTTGTCTGTCGCGAAGTCACATTTTTCACATTTGAATGGCTTTGAACGATATATTTCGTGAACTTTTTGATGTTTTTTCCATAGAACTTTTAGGTTAAATTTCTTATTACAAATTTTACATTCAAAGCTTTTTTCACTTTCATGAAGCAGCGTAACGTGTGTTTTGAGGAGTCCTTGATATATAAATTTCTTGTCGCAAATCTCACATTTGTATTTCTTGTCGTGAATTTTTTTATGATTTCGCAAATAATTGATTGATTTGAAGCTTTTTAAGCATATTTTGCATTGATACTTACAGTCGATCGCGTGAACATTTTTACGGTGATTATAAATGTACTGGACTGATATCATTTTATGGCAAATTTCACATTTAACTAATGAAAGATGAAGATTCATGTGACTAACAAAATTTGTTTTTTTGTTGAAGATTTTACCATCAAAATCACATTCAAAATATTCATTTTTGCCGACTAGATGTTCGGTCTTGATGTGTTGATTTAAATAGTTTTGAGTCATAAAACTGTTGCTGCATATTGTGCAACCAAATGCACTAATTTGATGGATATTTTCAATATGCCTTTTCAAATTCTGATTTGTTGATAGTTTCTTGCCACAGATATTACACTTATAATCCTTAAACTTGGTGCTGCTCTTATTTTTTGTCAGAATTTCATCAAATAGCTTTATTTTGCTGATTTTTTGATCATTTCTTATGTCATCTAATTTTACTCGACATTCACGAAGATTTAAAGAATTCTCGGTTTTGGCTGTCATTTGATTGTTAATTTTAGTTTCTGATGATTTTGGTTCAACTTTAAAAAAGTCTGAAATTTTTTTTGACATTTTCTTTCACAATCTTTCTTGAATTTTAATCATCAACTGGTAAATTAAGCATGAATGCACGATTCTTTTATTGCCAGTTCTGACAACTTCATTTGAGATTATTTTGTAAAGTTTCTGAATTTTGAGTTATTTTTGTTTAAATTTACAAACTTAAATATTTTAAGATCCAAAGAATGTGAACCTTCTTATGTATTATTATTGCACTAGGCTATTCGGGGGTGCCAGTGGTACCCGCTATCAGGGTTTATATAAAAACTAGGCTATCCGGAGGCGCCCGTGGCACCTCTTATCAGGGTTAAAATTTGATTACTATTATGTAAATAACTGTAAGACGCAAATAATCATAATGTTTATAAGGTCAACCCTACCACAAAACTTCACATGGCCTCACAACCCCCTCAAACTCGGATTCAAAAACTTTAATTCCCCCGAAACCCACCACATCTTTTCACAAAGCTTCGCATGGCTTCACAAAACTTCACATGGCTTCACAAAATTTTATATGGCTTCACAAAATATTCCTGACACCAAACTTTTCCCACAAACCCCCTCAAATTCGGACCCCCCCCCCCCCCCAACTGACACCCACCTTGTCAGCACTCCTTAAATCATTGGCTTCACAAAATATACCTGACACCCCCCCTTGCCCTCCACCTGACATTCACCCCCCACCTGACACTCACCCCACACCTGACGTCCACCTTGTCAACACTTCCCAATTTCACACGACTTCACAAATGGCTTCACACGGCTTCCGTTCTATAGTCAGCGAGGGAATAGAGTATTTATATTATAGATTAGGGTTACTTCTAATGATATCGACTTTATGGCTTTAATGAGCATCTTAATAAGAAAGAAGGACTACACCCCTGACTTTACCCTACTGAAACCGATCACAATTATTTATTCAGAATAAGGTTTGAAATCCAATTCTTAATAACCACTAAACCAAATCCAAAACAAGGCAGGTAAACAATCTATTTCAATTCCAGCATACAGCTATAAAAGTAAACCATGAATCACAATTGATCTTTTTTCCCAGCAAAATAAATAAGCAAGCATAAAGCTAGAAACAACCTCAAATTTTTATTTATTCAGTTAAATTGCAATAATTTGAACATTTTCTTTAAAAACTTTTCGTGCATCGTCTGCAAATATTCCAATAATCCCAAATTTTTCAATATTTCTAACATATTTTCTAACTACTTCCAACATGTCCATGACTAAATCCTTTTTAACATCCACATTAAGGTTAACTTCAATTAGTTGAGTCATTTCTGGCAGGCACTGTCGTAGAACAAAGTTGATGTTGTCGTCATTTGTGCTGATTGACAACTTTTTGATATTCCTGCAGTTCTTATAGAGTCCAAGGAACCTCGGAAAATTGTACAGCTGCATGCTTCCGTCCACAACTTCCAAACTTTGTAAATCCTCGAATAAATCCGTCTCTGGATTAATAACTTGACAGACAGCAGGCTCATCAATGTGAGTATGTGTTAACATCAATCTCAAGTATTGGATTGGATACTGCCTGACCATTTCGAACATGCTGCATATTTCATACTCACTGACAGTTAATTTCTTGACTTCTTGCTTCTTTCCATCCAAAATTAAAGGAATTTTTCTCAAGTAAAATTTGTCAAGCTTCATTTCCTCAATTATGAATTTTAAGACGTCATGTCCATCATCATCGTATGGCAGTCTGTGAATTGTTAGTTCCTTCAATACTCCTTGCTGTGACTTTAGAAAATTCAACCTCGGTTCAGTCACAGACCACCAGCCAGTCAGCAAAGTTGCTTCAAATTTTTGAACTTTAAATGTAAAATTTTCCGAATTGAAGAATAAAGAAGCTGCAAATCCATTAATTATAGCATGATTAAGATTTGGCATAGCTGCAGTCATTAGCAGGAAGTTGTCAAATAAGTATCTTGTGTTGGAAATTTTATTTCTGTAGAATTTGACTTTTTTCACTGCGCTCTGTTGGACGAAAAGTATGAAAATATTTTGGCAACATTCCTTAAATGTTAGGGATCTCAGTGATGGAAGCAAAGGTATTGATCCAGTCTCTGAAGCTGCAACTGTGCCTTCCTCAACTATCAATTCTTTAAGGTTCGAAAAATTACCAAAAACCTTCAAAAATAGCTCAATTTTGTGAATGTAAATATTTTTAAAATTCATAATTTCAACAAAATTTCCAAATTTCTTCACAAAGTTATGAATTTGAGCCAAGTCATCGTCTGTGTTGATGTCTGATATTGTGATGTTTTTAAACGGCACATCAAGAAGTGCTGATAAGTGATTTACATTTTTTGGATTAACTTTGAGGTTGAATTTTAATAAAAGCTTTGATGAAGTCGAGAAAACGTTACAAAATCTGCAAAAAATAATTGAATAAATTTATTAATATTCTAGGGTCGGTGTGTAGGGAAAGTGTAGGGCTTCTTGATGCTAGCTTTGCTATATCAAAATAAATTTTATTCAAACAAAATTTTGTAGTTGATTAAAATTCATTTCAAGGTTAGGATGCCTTGTGTAGCCACAGACACATTCGAATAGCACAAGTCGGTTAATCAAATAGAAAACCAGCACCAAACTGGCATAACTCTGGCATGGTGCTGGATTCGATTAGCCGCTATTCGGGATAGTCCATTAAATACTTACAAAGAACATGTTTTCATAACATTGAGCATCGATTCGTTGTCCAAATGTAAAAAGATTTCAATAAGGATGTCTTCAGGCAGTTGATCCATTTTAAACTAACTTATGATAAGTTTCAATTTAGCTGAGAAATCAGTGAGAATAAGAATTGAGCATTAGAAACTTTTTTTTAAAAAAAGAGAGAAAATTAACAGCTGAGAGTGAGGAAAGAGAGAAATTCTCATTCCCATAAGAATTATTTCACAATATTTTTATTTCATTTTGAGCTTGAGATTTTAAGAAATTGCTTTAACACGTTAAAATATCGACTAACACTGACATTCAAATAAATCTTAAAGTTTTTACTATTTTAATGAAGTTCGTCAAACTTTCAACAATTCCAAAAAATGAACAACAAATTTTGCAAAATAATAAAATTTGAGATTTTGAAGATTAAACAAACTTCGACTCACTCACACAACTGACAATCTTGCTCATCAACTGAGTATAGTTGTATTAAAATAAGTTTAAATAGTTATGTTTAGGATCGTGAACAGCTGTTGCATTGTTTATGTGTGCATTTTTTTAAAATTGAAGATGTTTAAAGTTGGTCTGACATTTTTAGTGGCCAATATTGCAACTTTTGCCATTTTTTGTGCGACTTTTTGGTAACACGAATTGAAAGATGTCAGCCTTCTGTCAAAGGCAATGTCAACAATGAAATTTGTTGTGAGAGAAACCCAATTTTTTTCCCCAACCTCTGAATTTTCCAATTCATTTCCAAAAAAATCTTTTCCTTCACCTTAAGAACTGCACAGCAGCGATCAACTTTCCAACATTTAGTCCTTGATTTTTGATGATTTGAGCAGCTTTTTCATTGAACTTACAGCAGTTGAACTAAGGGGCCATTCACTTATTACGTAACGCTTTTAGGGGGAGGGGGGGGGTCTAAGATTTTGTTACGGTTCAAACAAGGAAATTTTTTTTTCATACAAATTTTGTTACGAGGGGGGGGGGGGGGGGTCTAAGAAGTCATTTTTTCGCGTTACGTAATAAGTGAACAGCCCCTAAGATAAATTTCATTTAAATTTGTCATGCTTGTCAGGCAGTCACGTAAGACAGAATTGATGTTTTATCGTTCGTCCTCCTCTCTTTCGAGAGTCGAGTGATGTTCCTGTAATTTTAATAAAGTTTGTTTTAATTTAAATTTAATTTAATTTTTTTATAAACACTGAGAACAACTTCTTTGATCCACTAGGTTCTAAAACATATAGTTTATTGAGATATTTAAAAATATCTGCAGGAGGATCAATGATTTGACTGATAGCATGTCTGTCAATACCTGTATGAGTTAAAAACAATGAGACTGATTGAATATCTGAAAAAAAAATAAAAAGTGATGCAGTGTCAATTTAATGAAGATGAGGTCAAACGGCTTTTGAGGATATGGTCAGAAGAGGGGGCGGTGGAGATGGTTTGAAAATACCCACCAGAAAGTTTTCAAAACATTTCTAATGCGAAGCTAAAATTCACGTCCCAAGCTATGAATTCCTTGACACCTTGCTTAGCTCCATTCAAGATCAACGGAATCTCCCAAAATAGAACTTATCCTTGTATACATATTTGGTATCTAGTACGGGATATTAGAGATGTGATAAGATTTTAGCATCCAATATCCACAAACCAATAGAAAATTAAATCGTCATTAATTCAATTTTAATTAAATTTATAAATCATTTTTTTTATTTCGCTATCATAAATTTGAAGAATAACGAATTAAAAGAATTTAAAATTCAAGGGGAAAAAATTTGTAAACTTTCACCTTAAGTTGTTAATCCCCTTGTAAACAAACTTATTTTGTGAATTTTAAAAATTAGATTTGTGTCAAGCATAGCTTAATTAACGAGAAAAAGTCGTTGGATTTAGTGGAAATTTACAAGGTAAAATCAACTGTAATTCACAAATGCCCAAAAAAATCTAATAATAGCCATAATTTTGCAGTAGAAAACATCCAGTAGAAAGATCAGGAAATGGAACAGCAGAAGAAGAGAGCTGATTTAAATAGCTTGCCTACACGTCAATATTTAGACCAAACTATTAATCCAATCTTACTACCGGCACTAAAAGCATTAGCCAAAGAACGTCCAGCTGATCCCATCTCATACTTAATAGCTCAACTGTCGAAGCAAAAAACGAAAATGGAAGAGAATTAAATGACTATTTTGTGACTGCTCTGTATTATTTAAATAAATTTTTAAGTGACTGTCCTGTAACATTAAGGAGTGATCTTGATTGCTTGCTAGTTCTTTTGTTTCAGGATGTGAATTTTAATAATAAGAAAGGATCCAGTTTGGAGAACAAAAAATCATTTAAGCTGGAATTGAAGCCTGTAAAACCAGTTGGGATCGTTCACATATGACGGCCGGAATATTTTCAAAAAGAACAATGGATTTCCAGGAATGCCTGTTTTTCTTTTCTTCTTGACTTCCCCTCCTTGGACGTCATAAGTGAACGGCCTGGTTGGTATTTTGGGAACTAACCCATTTTCGTAAGCGAACTTAAATTATCAGTTTATGAAATAAATTAAAGGTTCCTATTGGGTTCCTATTGCTCCACTATGAAGCGTAGGGCGTCCGTAAAGCATTTGAATCGCACTCGATTCTGGGCCAAAGCTGCTATTTCCTGCAGCTTCTTGTTCTGTTGTTCCACCTCCCGTTCAACAGTTGTACGCCAAGTAATTCTCTGTCGGTCCCAAGTCCTATTTCCTTGGACATTTCAGAAGATCGCTTGCCTAGCGATGTCTGCATGGTCTTTCCTTAACTTTTGGAAATGCTCCTTGATTTAAAGTCAAAAGTAAGTTCAAATCCTGTAATTTAAGATTCTAAAAGTAGATTCATGCCATGCAATGCTCAATCGCATGTTAATAATTTTATTAAGTTTAACTTTATTAAGTACAATAATTAATACATTTTATAAGCAGCAGCTTGCTTTATATTTCAACAACTTCAACATCATTTCCAAAAAACTCCCTCGCATCATTCACAAATTCTTCATTAATGCTTAATTTCTTGATATTTGGTGCAAAAACTCTGATAAGTTGAAGTCTCTGCATAGAATTAGGAACGTCACATTTTAAACAAATTTCATTTAAATGCGTAAATTCAGGCAAACACTCCTCGAGTACTGAATTGATCTCCAAATCTGGAGAAATGATTGTCAATTTTCGAATATTTCTAAAATTCTTGTAGAGTCCAGTGAACATTACTAAGAGCGTTTCGTAGTTGCTGCGGTCCTCGATCTCAAGTTCTTTGCAGCATGTGAATAACATAGTGCCTTGATTGATGATTTCTCCAATTGCATCTGCATCTAGTCCAGTTTGGGTCAGAAACAGGCTGAATTTTGTGATTGCTGTGAAAAAGTTTTGGGATAAGTTAAAAAAATTGATTTACATTAAAGTTCATAATTTATATTTTTAAAATTCAATTTTTAACGAACTTTGAAAATTCAAATTTCTAAAGGTTTTTTAAAATAATTTTTAAACTTATAAAATTTTAAATTTTTAAGTTTTTTAAAATAAATTTTTAAGCTTTTTATATTTCAAATTTTTTAAGGTTTTTAAAAAATTTAAGATTTTCAATTTTTTTGACATTCACATTTTGACAATTTGTTTTTTAAAAAATCAAAACGTTGACAATTTTTTAAAAAATTAAAATTTGAACTATTTTTGATATTTCGAATTTTTAACGATTTTTTTGACATTCAAGTTTTTAACGATTTCGAAAAATCTATTCAAACTCACTTGGGAACTGCCTAAACATCTCAAATGCAGCCTGAATCTGAACTTCTTGAACCCTAAATTCCATAACTTCCTGCTTCCTTCCACCAAGAATTAATGGAATTTTTCCATAATAAAATGTGTCAAGCTTCATCTCCTCAATGATATATTTAAGTACAGCACCACCATCATAGTCATATGGCAGCTTTTCAAGTATCAGTTCCTTCAAGCTTCCCTTCTGTGACTCAAGAAAACGAGTTCTCGGTAAGTGATTCGTCCAGTCAAATGTCATCAAAAACACATCAAGTTTGCGAATTTTGAACGGAAATCCACCATGTTCAAAATAATTTGCAGTTCCGTGTCCTCTCATGACCAATTTATTTAAGTTTAAGTAATTTTTTGCCATTTCATCAAAGTCAGCCCACGAGAAGTCATTGCCCCATTCCATGCGAACAATTGAGATATTTTCGACGTTTTTCTGCGCGTGGAAAATTTTAAAAAGTTCGTCGTCGGATTCATGAAAGTAAATTGACTTAAGATGCATGAACTTAGGCAGCTGCTTCTTGACATCATTCATTTTGCAATTCTGGAACGAAATTGACTCAAGACGCTTCAAATTTTTAATAATTTTCAACAAATAATCAGTCGAACTTAATTCAAAGTTCTTCAGCTCAACAATCTTAATTGATTCTTTGTAAAAATCGATGATTTTTGACATTTTATTTATATCCTCGGACCTAAATTGGACCTTCATGTCTTGAGAATCATCGATTGATATTTTAATAATTGGGACATCTGGGAGGTTCTTGATGTTTGATAATCTGTCAACTTTTTCTGAGTTTAAATGCAAGGTGAACTTTGAGAAGTGCTTTGATGAGTTTGAGAATATTCTGGCCCAACTGGAATTAAAGTTTTGGATTATTATTAAGATTTTGTTGTATTATTCGGGTTCTGGGATGATAGAATAGCTATGGAACTGCTTTGAATCTTTTAAACGTTTTCATCTGGCTTTAAATGACTTTCCAAAAGCAGAATCTAGAAGTTATAGATTGTTTGGTTGTCAACAAAGTTCGTTTATAAAAAAGAACAATGGATTTCCAGAAATTTCTATTGTTTTTTTCTTGCTGACCTCTCCCTCGCCCTGTACGTCGTAAGTGACCGGCTCCAAAGCATATTTTTGGTTTTTTCTCGAGGTACTCGAACTGAGCTCTTGATTTTTTTCACCTTACTACCTTTTCTATTTATTTTGAATCGCAGTTACTAGAGCCTATTCGTAAAGAAGCGGCTCAACAGAGCTCTCAACTCAATGAGCTTGCGGCATTTGCTAGAAATCACTTTAAATTTAAAAGTTTCGTAAACGCACAATGGAGTCATCATCATCATCATGAGGGCCTAAAGCTCAAAGGCTGGACCCTTCCCATGACTTACATTTTATTTCTTTTTCTTCATTTCTACTTGACTTGCCTCCCACCTAGGTCCCATGCTTAGTATTTTTCAAGTATTTTTACACCTTTTCTTAACAACCAATCCATCATCTTTCTTCCTGGTCACCCAATTCGTTTGCTAAACATGCAGACTCCCCCTAATAATAATGTGAGAAGGCCCCAGCTGGAGGCACTGCGGCGGACCATTTTTTGTTGAGAGAAAATTTTTTTGGAACGGATTTTTTTGGAAAAGAATAATTTTCCAAATAATTGTTTTCCAAAAAAATCAGTTCCAAATAATTCCGTTTCAACAAATTTTTTTTCCAACAAAAAATGCTCCCCCGGCACTACGATTCAAATTAGAACAGAATCTATTGTACGGCACCCAATCCCCCTAAGGCCCTCTGAAAAAATGTTGGCAGCAAATGCATATTTTTTAAATAGAAAACCCAAAAATTCTGAACAAGTATGATTTTTTAGTGCCTGTACAATTTTCAAGGTCATTTGTGTTTACATTTTGAAATTATTTGATTCTCCAAGCATTTTTAGATGCAGAAGAACTAAAACATTTTTATTAAATGAAATCAAGATTTAAATCCAAAGTTCAAACTCTAAGGTGAACTTAGAAGCTTAAAAGGTTGCCTTGGTAACATAAAACCTGCCATTGCATCAACAAAATTAGTCAAATTAATTTAAAAACCATCGAAACTTACAACTTTGAAGCCTGAAGCGCATTCCACATTGACTCATCATCCAAATGATCAAAGATAATCAATAGTATATCCTCTGGTAGATTACTCATGACTTGGTTCTCTGAATTTTACGTTTGAAAAAGAAAATTTAGGAAAATCACATAACTTGTCTCCAAAAACTACTTTAATTTTATTATTTAATAGACTTTAGCTATGTTGTCAGCTTTAATTTCACAATTTTCACAAAATAACATTCAAAAGGTTAAAAATTTTGTGAAATGAGTCACAAATCAGCTGTGATTTCTCAATTTATTGCTTCTTCGTACCGGTTTTTCTGTAAATTATTCTCTCTGTGTTTTTTTGTTGTTAAACCTACTCGATTGGAGAAACAAACGAGACTAAAATAAAAAGAGAGAAAATAACAATGCCGCATCATAAGGTAGACTTTGCTCATTATTTTCTCAATTTTTGGGTGTACAATAGATGATAATAATTCATTTGTATGATGCTTAAGGTCACGAGATTCAATTAATAATATTTTTTAATTTTATTATTTTTATTTTAACATTTTAAGTTTCAAGAATTTTACTAATATTTTCTGTGCAGCTAAAAAAATTAAATTCACTTATTTGTCACTGACATTTAAGGTGAGTTTGTTGTCTGTTGTATCCAACTCATGTAATTAACAACATTCACATAGACACCAGGAACGTTTGAGGATCCACATCCGATGCCCCATGCAACCAATCTATAAATTATGTCAAAGATTTATTTGTAAAATTTTACAATCAATTCATATCCATGCTTACCCAAAGACAAACCATTGATTGGCTACCTGGCAAACAAGGGGAGCTCCACCATCGCCAGTGCATGCGTCTGTAATTAATTGATCGAATTCAAATGAAGAAATGATTAAAGTTTTAGAAGTTGCAGGGTTAAATGGAACAAAAGTGAAGGATTTGACACTTTGTTGTCAATCAGCTGGATTTTTGGTGAAATTTGGTTACAGACTTGAATAAGACAACTCGTTTAATCGAATAAAAATCCATCACCAAGCAGGCATGATTCTGGCATCAATTTAAACCCAGCACCATGCAAAAGTCACACCAGCTTGAAGCCGGATATTTGATCGATTAAACATCTTGTGACATTCGAGAGAGAGAACAGCACAATGACTTTATGCTAGAATATTGACAATTTTTACTTTTTTAAAGACTTAAAACTTACCTTTCCCAAGCTCACCACCAGCACACAAAAAGCTGCTTTGATCTAATATAAAGTTTTGTCCCAACCTAGTCGATCTTAGTAAGTTTTGACATGTAAATTGATCCACAAGTGGTAAGTCAACTTCCTAAAATAAATAAAATTCTTTAGAACATGTAACAGGTGACTTAATAGAGATATAGAGTCAAAAATTGCATCTAGCTGCTCAACTTAGCTTAACTCAGACACTTGGATAAAAAGTTGCATTTTGACAATTATTTGATGAGTGTCTGTGCCAAAATATTGATCATACTCTTCGAAGTTGTGTCAAAAAGATATAAAATAATTACTTTCAATAAATTGGAGGTTATCTGTCCTCCAAAGTTTGCACTTCCGTAACCAGCAACCATGCATCTGTCAAAATTAAGTTCTTAAACTTCAAAATATCTCTAAATTCATTTTTATCAGAACTTACCTTACTCCACTGATCATGTTCGTCGGTAAGCACGCAGTCTAGAAATTTGAAATTTACAAACTTACATAACCTCAAAAAAAAAATCCCAAAAAACTCACCCCAACGGTAGGTGTTGCTCCTAAATTAACAGACTGCGATAACCTCAAAATTGCGACATCATTTTGTAAGTTGGATGGATTAAATGACGGATGTGAAAAGATTCGCATCACAGTGAACGTTTGGTATGGAATGACCTCAGATAAGCCATCCCATCTGCCAAGTTGAACAATGAATGGCTGTCCACTGGCCCTGATATCAATACTTAAGTATTAATTTTAAAATGAAAATTTGGATGTTGATGTATTTGGGGTTTTGATACTTACAGTGATTGGTTGAGTTTGTGGGCAACAGCTTTAAAAGATATTGATAAATTTAAGGTTTTATAGATCGGTAAATATTAAAATACTTACTTAAAACATGCATGTGATCGATAAGAGCACCAGTTCCTTGAAAACTTAAGTCTGTCTGACCCATAATTACTGAAGAAATTAAAAAGTTTAAATTTGTCAAGAATAATGTTTAGATTTTGTGCTAACGTACCTGCAAGCCAAGGATATGCTCCATAATTCTGAAAACAAAAAAACGTGGTAAAAATTAATGAAACTAAGAAGCAGGGCTTATTTCTGGGATAACATAGGATAGTCTAACCTAAACACAACCAAATATTATTTGTAAAATACAGGGTCAGGAGCGTAGCTAGAAATTTGAAAAGGGGAGGCAACTAGTGGAAATTTTTGGGAAGGGGGATTCTTACCCAAATCCCTACCTCACTACGAACCTTTACAGACTGATTCTAAAAACTAGGTCTGGCTAGTAGCATTCCAGAGTTCCACTCAACGTTGCTGACTCTTTGCTACCAACATCGTTCTCAAACCAATCTTTAATAAAGCTCTGATAAAATTTCAAAATTTTCAATACTTACAGCTTGTCCAGATCCTGGTATTGGTTGTCTAGCACCAGCTACTGGAGGATATCTCCTTCCACATTGATATCCAGTCGAGGGACAGCACCGTTCCAATCCAGACTGGCAAAATACTTGAGAGTTGACGACTGTAAAATTTATTGGTTTTAGAGATGTCACAATATAAGTTACAAAATAATAAATCATTTATCATCAGGCTGTCCATTGGTTTTTGCCGATTGTTTTTTTGTCAAAAAGGGGAACATGCCTTAAATTCAGCTCTGAAAAAAACGAGACAGACCAAGTTTTCAAGCATTTTCCAACAAAATTGGGTTCAAAAAAGCGGGACTGTCCCGCTCAAAAGTGCGCAGTTGGACAACTTATTAATGAACGAATTGAATGTGACAAAATAATTGATTCACCATAATTAATCCCAGATGACGCTGGCGATGTCAATTGAACTGATGTTCCAGATCCTGATGTAGCCTGACCGTTCTGAAATTTATTCAATTTTGATTTTAAATTTGACTTTGTTGTGCTTGTTTTGCTTACTGTTTGAATCCTTATGTCTATGTTTCCTGTTTTAATAATAAATAATGTCAATCTCATTAGTTTTAGTCAACTGAATCATTTAATTATGGTAGATTTATGAGAGATGAGAGGTTAGATGACCAAAGAACTCATGGAAAGAGGATGTTGATAGAGACATTGTTGCATTTGGAATCGGCAATTGGCAGACGGTAGCCAGAGATAGAGCTAGTTTTAGGGGACGGCTAAGGGAGGTCATGGGTCACTATTGGTCTGTACGACCAGCGAAGTAAGTAAGTAAGAGAGGTTAGATAGGTCTGATTAGAGCAGTGTAGTCAAAACTCTTTCAGCCACGGCACACTTTAATTTAAGATATTTTTTTAATGGTACACTTATAAACTTTTCTCTTAAAATCATCATTACACCAGTGTGCTACAGCACACAGTTTGGACAACATTAGATTAGAGGTTAAGTAAAACATGATTTTGAGGTCGAAATGAGGAGTGTTGCAGTGTTGATTGCCTTTGATGAAATATAGCCTTTGATCTATCCAAGTCTTTCCTTTGCAAAGGCACGACAAAGGCAGAAGCAGAATAATATTGCCTTTGATTAAGGCAGAGACATGTGAATTTAGTGTCAAATTGCCTAGGCTAGTTTCACCTTTCTAAAGGCACATGCTAGATTTCACCCTAGATTGTTGTTCTTTTTTTGTAATAAAAACCATCAAACTTCCCCAAGTGTACTCTTGACACTAGTGTCTAGTAATTACTAGATCTAGGCTTATTCACTAGATATAGACTTACCCGAACAGCACAAATCGTTTAGTCGAATACAAAACCGGTACCAAGCCGGTGTGACTCTGGTATCGTGCTGGACTCTAATTTAATCCAGTATCATACCAGAGTCACACCAGCTTGGCGCCGGATTTTTATTTGATTAAGCTACTTGCCGCTTTTCGGGTTATTTACTAGATCTAGACTTAATTACTAGACATTAGTGTGAAGTATTTCTTAGAAAAACATAAATCAATTTGAATGAACTATAATACAAACCTGTTCCATCTGTACCTGTTCCAGTTCCACCACCATTCCCACCTCCACCAATTCCATTGCAACTTCCAGACGTGGCACAAAAACAAACATTTGGAGCACTTTGTGAATTAACCAAATTTAGTAGAGCTATAAAGTTTATGAAGTAACTCGGTACTCTCATTTTTAAGTTTTAATAAGGATATTGCTCGTAATATTTAATTTCACTTCAGCTTCATAAATTCAATAGATTCTCAATATTAAATTATGTGTGTCTAGCTTGATCAGAACAATATTTCATTATGAATGGAAATTGAAAATGTAAAATCAAAATATGAATGAAAATTTATTTAAATATAAAAAAAATTAACATCGACTTTACAACAGAATGTAAAATTGTCCTAATTTAGTACATCAATGACACATTAGAATCGACAACTTTGTTGTTGTAAGCCCTTAAAAGACATGAGAACTTTAGCACAGATAAGAAGCGACGACAGAAATTTTCAAAATAAGTTGCATCTTTTAATCAGCTTGAAAAGGCACTAATTAGTGGCTGTTCTAAATGAGATGCTAACCAATCCTCTACTGTAGACAGTACTCAACAAGCCATGAGTCACATCCGTTAGAAAAAATAGCCAAATTATTAAAAAACTATTTAGCCTTATAAACTTCCCCTGAATTTACTAAACAAAAAATTGTTCAAAACATGGTTGACATAAAAAAACTTTACATGCTTTTGTAATCCTACAATTTTTTTTATAGAATAATAAAGTTTTCATTTAGTTTAATTTGAAATCTACAAGCAGAAAATTCACAGTTTTTGAACTAAAATGGGGAATTTTTTAAACATCTTTAAAGATTTAATATCAATATTATTTTTAATAAATCAAATAAATTCCCAAAGTGTTCCTGGCGTCTGCTTCTGTGTTCCATCCGGATTCTGTAATTCAACGTCAGGCTCTAGTGGGAATTTAGATGGATCAGGTTAGCTTTAATATTGAAATTTTGAGATAGTTTAATTATTTTATATTTTTTTCTAGGAGCTGCAATTGACATTCGAGTACAAACGGTTAGTAAAGTGTAAAAGGGTCTAAGACGGATTTTTTGATTTTTCATTAATGCATGAATTATTTGTTATATGCTTCAAAAAAAAGAGACAAAAGCTCTTCACTTCAATATTTTAAAACACTAATTTAAAATTAATTTTGACACTTTTAGAATGGATCTCCACCTCCAGGAGCAACAGGTACATCAATCGCAATTACAACACCAGCATCAACTGGAATCAATCTTGGTAAACTTTCTTCCATTGTTGTTTGCGTTCGGTCGTCGTTATTAATCCAGTCCTGGTTACCTTATGTTTCTTTCTTTGTACATGTTGATTCCGGGAATAATTGGTTTTCAACCTCACTGTCCCTAGTCTGAATTTTGGGTGCCACCCTACAGGCGAACTTGCTTGGAAAGGCTTTTAATCTATCCTTTAAAGTACTTATTTCGGAACAGGGATCGATCGCCAGCGGTATTAAGGGATACCACAAGAATGTATACACTTGACATTTGGGCAGCTTCGGAGTCAGACTTCGACTTTCTCAATCTCCCATATATAAACTACCTGACTTAGTTCAATTGTATGCAAGCGTGTAGCCACGGACGAGTGGGTTTTCTGTGACAAATCTCAGTACGGTCATTTTGCTAAGCTTTATATGAACAAATTCTCATTTAAATTCCCGGCTACGACCCTGCTTGTTTGCAAAGAATCAAAAATGATTAATTTCTTATTATTGTCGTTTTTAATAATTCAGATTAACATTTAAAAGTTGAATTTTTTTTAATTATAGTTGTGAACAATCAATTTTCATGCTCCTATGCTGGACTTGACAGGTGCTGCTTATCAGCAGGTATAAAATAATTTTGTATATGCACAATTTGATGAATAAGACTGAAGAAGTTTTCATAATCAGTCATATTTTTATAGAACCATTGAAAGAGTTTGCAGATGTTGTCTTTCCGTAGCCTTAGTACCTTCATTTTTGAGACTTATTAAAAAAAATATTTTTAAGGTTATCAAGGCTTTCAATGTGGCATGCGATATCCACCCATTGCTGGTGCTGATCGTCCATCGATTGGATCTGGGCAATCCGTAAGATTAGAACAAATTTAATTTAGATTCAAATGATTTATTTATTAATTTTGAAAGCAATATGGAGCATATCCCTGGATTGCAGCGATTGTTCTCGGTAATCAAACATTTGTTGGTAAATCTAAAAAGATTTATTATTTATCAAGCCACATTAAACTTGAAAATTATTCATTTAGGAACAGGAGTATTGATTGATCATCAGCATGTCTTGACGACAGCACATAAGCTTAATGGATCGTTGTACGGAACTCTAAATAAGCTTAAACCCACAAATCCCCATATTTTCACATCTCATTTAATTCTAGTTCAACACAACTCTTTGTTCGACTTGGTGAATGGGATGCAGCAGCTGACAATGAAAGAATTCCAAGTCGACAGCTTCCAGTAACTCGAATTTTTATTCATCCACTTGCAAATTATGGAAATTTGAAGAATGACATTGCAATTTTGAGAGTTTCGTTTGTGACTTTGGGGGAAACGCCGACTATAACGAATGTTTGCTTGCCATCGAATCCAATTACATCTGCTATTAGGTGCTGGATTGCTGGTTGGTTTTAAAATTAAACAAAAATTATGAGAATGTGATCGATCGGTTCCGTAACTTTGATTTGACTTTGGCTGCAGTAATCTGTAAATTTTACTAAATGTTTTAAAATGTTTTTGCAGGTTGGGGCTACAACAATATGAATGGATTCTACCAAAGTAAACAGACAGTAAGACAAATAGCTTTGAAAATGTGTGAGAAAAATGAATTAATTTTCTTGACTTCTAGGAAGTAGATGTTCCACTTGTTGATCAACTTACTTGTCAGAACTTGCTGAGATCAACTCGACTTGGACAAACTTTTATATTGGACAACACAGCTTTCATTTGTGCTGGCGGGGAAAATGGAAAAGGTGAGTAAAATTGGAGGTTAGCTTTTGGAAGCAAGATATGGGGCTTATAAAGTCTATCAAAAAAACTAATTTTTAAAGCACCCCCCATTTTCCTCTGTCTGTCACAGATGTCAATACCCCCCTACCCCCTCCCAACTGTGACATCGAATCCAAGACACCAAATAATTATAATTTCCTGATTAAATAATTGATGAAACAAATTTCCTGACCCCCCCCTCCTCTTTTCATCCTCTGTCACAATGTGTCACAAATTGTTTGACACCCCCCCCCAAATGTTGGACGTCACATGTGAATCACCCCTTATTTTGTCTTGAGATTAATGTCTTAGCCTATTGTCAGACTAGGTTTTTGTCTTCTCGTCTGCTTCCCTAACTGTATTGCCTTGAGTATTGTAAGAATTATTGACAAATCTACTCTATATAATGATTTAGAGGCAGGTCTCAGATGGAAATCGAACCCACGTCCTCACAAAAGAGAGTTACTGATATCCAGTCCATTGCATAATTCTTGCACTGGTAGATGAGCCCGGATCATCTGGCAGAAACCATGATATTCCATGGGATTCCATGGACTTTGACAAACGATCCTAAGATCATAGAAAACCTTTAAATTACATGGATTTTCATGGATTTACATGGTTTCTGTCAGATGATCTGCACCCCTGGTAGATTAGCCGTTATATGGCTCCATACCCCAGATTCCACTTTACTCAAACACCACACATCAATTCTCATTTTAGATGCCTGTACTGGTGATGGAGGTGCACCACTTGTATGTCAAATAGTGAATCAGTGGTATGTGGTTGGGTAAGTAACAAAAATTAACATCCAGGAACTTACAACGATCTGATTGATACCTTTAAGAATAATTTTTTCAACATTTTTTGAATCTAGTTTTTAAATCAAATTCATAAACTTGAAATTGTTTTTTAACAGATTGGTGGCTTGGGGGATTGGCTGTGGAACGTCTAATGTACCAGGTGTATATGTGAATGTTGCAAATTACCTTCCATGGATTCAACAAACGACAAGATCATAAAGTGTTGTAAAAAATGTAAAAAAAAGTTCAAATTTTTGAAAGAATAAAAAATAAAGTTTTTTTTAAATTTTTTTGAATCCCTAAAAAGTCTGCAACCTGAAAGACTGAAATTTTAAAAAAAATTGAGTTGTTTTGTGAGAGAAAATTGAGAGAGTCACAAAAAATCTTGAGAGAATCAAGTTAAGTAATGAAAACATTTACAGTCGGAAATTCGTCGTCTTAGCTTTTGGTTGCCAACAAGTGGTTTTTCTTTTAGATTTTCGGTAAGTTTTGTATTAAAAGAATTTTAGAAGCTTCTGACTTAATTGAATTGAATTTGTCATCAATTGCAGTCAGATTTAATTGCACTTAAATCCTCAAAAGCTACAAAATAAGTAAAATTTTAATAAAACAAATTATTTACCGTATAAAATGTTCACAAGTGTTAGTGTTGATAGAGTAATTTATTCAATATTCAATTTCTATGTGTGGCTCACCTTTGGCTATCGCCGCATGCATGAAGAAGAATTGTGAAACAGTTTTTACATACAAGTCCAAAAAGAAAAGAAAATTGGTTCTTGTAAATATTTTTTTTTGATTATTTCTTCGATTTTTGATGTTGAACGTAGCTTATTGATGAAAAAGTTCAGTTTATTTAGTAGTTAAAGGTGGTTTTTGAATAAGTTTTTAATTTTGTGATTAATCCATGGGTGGTCAACCGTTTTTGAGTTACTGTCCTACTAAATGACTTAAAATTGTACTAGATAAAATTCAGGTTTGGTATAAAAGGTCTCAGATGTGTCAAAAAAATATGTTGCATATCTAAAAACCTTTCTGACATATAAAGGTGGACCAGGTTCGTAACCAGGGGGGGATGGGATTTGGGGGGCAATTCCCCTCACGTTAACAGAAATTTCTTCAGTTTGCTAAGAGTTTTATAAAAAAAATCATAAAAATCCTCACCTTCCCTCTGAATTTTCCATATAACATTTTTTTTGTAACCCCCCACCCCCCACCCTCTTCAAATTCCTTGCTACGCCCCTGACACACGTTACCCATCACTAGTTTAATGCTTTTAATTATTTAACTTCAATATTTGCTTTAATCAAATTAAACATTTCACCCAATGAGTGCGGATGAGAACTAATTTTCGATTTCGAAGGATCTAATTTTCGAGCGCGGGAAAAAAATTGAATTGGAAATTTCCGTTACAATTATTTGTTTACATTTTGCATTTAAATTACTTCTTGAAAAAAGAATCTTCATGGGAACTTTCAGTAGAAGTTCAATGTTTTGTAATGTATCTAGAATTCATTTATAGGCTATTAAATTGTCTTATTTAATATTCTGATCCTTCATTTAAACAACAATTTATTGATACAGTAATTGCCCAAGTTGAAGTAGTTTTTGAACATTGTGAAGAAACGATTGATAAACTATTAAAAGCTTTTGTTAAATTTAGAGCAAAATTTCAGTATTCGTGTTGATTAATACATAAAAGAAATAATTTTGCATCAAAAAACAATTGAAATAAATTTGTATCTTAATTAAGTCGCTAACGTATTTTTATTTTTCAAAATTTCATATTTTCGAATTTTTTTTGAACTTTTCGAAATTAACCAAAATTAACTGACATTTTCTTTGTTCGCACTCATTGGCATTTCACAGATCATCACCAAACATGGGTTTCACAACAATCGTAATTGCCTTGTTCATCTACATCATCTGGGATGTCAACTACTTTATCAGATGCGTCTTTACACTCGGTTTTGCACAATTCTTCCAGCGAAAACGAAAAATCAGTGAAATGACATCGATTTATGGTGAGTTTTAGAGTTGAACTGTAAAGATGTGGAACCAATAAATCACAAATTGACAATTTTAATCAGTTTTACACCCCTGATCGGGTCTGAGACAGTTGACGGCACATACAACAAACACTCATCAATTTCCTTCCAAATTTTCCAGGTCTCTGCACAACCCAAGACGTCGACATCTTCATCCGTCACATGAACAACGCCCGCTATGTCCGAGAACTTGATTTTGCACGATTCCACTACTATGGTCTAACTGGAATCTATTCAGAAATTAAAAGCATGGGTGGTGGAGCTGTTCAAGGAGCCAGTTCCGTTCGTTATCGTCGTACAATTCCAATCTTTAACTTCTATAAAATCACAACTGAGCTCATCTGGTGGGACGAGAAGGCAATTTACTTACAGCAGAAGTTCATCACATTTGATGGCTTTGTTAGAGCAATAGCAATGTCAAAGCAAAATATCACAAAAGTTAATGTTATGGATTTGATGAAGAAATTTGAGGGTGGACAGAAGCGACCAGAACAGCCAGAAGAACTGAGAATGTGGCTTGAGGCTCTTGAAGTTGCCAGTAAGAAGCTGAGGAAGGATGATTAGAATAAGGATTTTTTTATAGGTTTTTGGTAATAATTTTTGTAATACTCAAGTCTTTGGATGTTACGGGTGCTGTAGGTTGTTTTTGAAATTTTTAATAAAAATATTAAATTTTTTAAATTATTTCAAAATGTTGTTTTACACAAAAAAGTACCAAATATTTGAGTAGCGTTAAATTTTTATTGTCAAGCTTGTTTCAGGAAATTGTAAAAAATGTTTTAGCTTTTTAATAATTTTAATAAATTTAAACAATGAAAAAGTTGTATCAGAAGTGGCCAGAAATGATTGTGAAAATTTTTATTGTAATTTTTATTGGTCGTTTAAATTATGTAGCTAATTTTTCGATCGAGAACTTCTCAATTGGCAGTAATAAGACTGAATCTGATGAATTAATGCTGAGTAATGGCACTAATAGTAACCAAACTGATGTTAATTTTGAATTGATTCACGACAATGATGAAAATTCAAAAATTATCAAAAGTAAGTGTGAAACTACTCGAGCTACTTACTCATTAATAATAATAATATACGTGCTTTAGAACGAGATGCAACTGATCAAGACAACTCTGCAGAAAATCACATTAATCACAAAGACAATCAAAGTCATAATCAACATGGATTTAGCTATCAACGGCCATCAAATGTGCCTAAAGACAGCTTTGAAAGTCATCATGGCAATAAAATTGATATCAAGAAAACAACAAATGGAGATTCTGATGAAAACTTAGCTCATACAATCCTTCAGACAACTGACAGCAGTCAAAATGAAAATTCTACTTTAGAAGTTGATCATTCAGAGGACCAAGAGACTAACAATCACCAAACTGAAGAACACATCACTGAACAAGATTATCATTCAAATGAGCTAAGTAAGACTGCATTGGACACAGATTCAACAATCTATCATAGCACATCTGCGAGAATTAATGATGATAAACATGATTATTCGACACAACCTTATAAATCGACTTCGAAAATTGATCAAAATTCAGAGGAACCAAATCATGATTGTGAGGATTCAGATGAAAATATTCAAGATAATTTGAACAATTCTACAAAAAAGATGAATACATCTGATGGAACTCATCAAAGGACTACACGATCAATGGATCACAATATGACGACAACAAAGATTGATAAAATTAATAAAATCCTTCATAATCCAGGAAAATATGGCAATAGCTCGTCCACAGTTAATGATAAAATTACAAATTCAACAAAACTATTAAAAGCATCAACAAAAAGCAGTCTGAAGTCTACAAATAATAAAAGTTCTACTAAGCCATCCATTGATCCAGTTTTACATCAGTCAACAAATCATTTGGGAACAACTGGTTCTTATTTAATTAATAGTACGCGACATTATGTCAATCACACCAATAAGTTAACCAATAATCTAAAAACAACCCAAATTGTTCATAATTCAACAATCAAGCTTAAAAATTCAACTTTTAATAACAGGATCAATAAAGAATCAAATTCAATCAATCATGCGACAAGCTTAAGAACCACTCAGAGGGTAAAATCCAGTAGAAACCATACTATCAACTCAGAACATGATCCAAGCCACTCTTCTAAAAATACAACAAATCACAGCAATAACCAAAACCTTACAACTCACCAAAGTAATCCTAAACATGTTTCAAATCACAATCAAAACCAAACAGCAAGCTACAAAAATAAATCAACTCCTAACCTTATTTACAATCATAACAGCACCACAAGCTACCACCCAAAAAACACCACAAACAAAATAAATCACAAAATAGTCCACAGCCAAAGCACAACAACTAAAGATGAATGGACAATTGCTGACAAAAGAGACAAAGTTGAGTCTCAAGAAGATAATAAACTGGGATCAAAACATAACCTCAAAAAGTCAACAACACAACATGATGCAGGGGACATTAGGACTCATCATTTAACAACAGCCTCAACACAAGAATCCATCAATCATGTCCATAATGCAGCAGAGGCAACAACGGAGCAAAGAATAAGATTTGCAATCCCACGAGAAGCGCAGAAACAGAATCAAGGGATGAAAAATGATGAAAATTCTAAATTTGATCATAATCAGTTGGAGGATGATGTGGAAGTGTTTAAGATGACTGAGAAAAGTTTGACTGTTGGCGGAAAGAGACAGACTGACGAGCATTCTGTTAAGTTTGTTGGATGATTTTTTTAAAAAAAAGTGAGAAAAAAAAAATAAAAAGGTTTTTTTGATTTTTTTTTTGAATTAAAATAAATCACATTGAAGCTGTAACGATTATGAAACCTCAAATAAGCTTCAGGCGCGTAACCAGGAGGGGATTTGGGGGGCAAATCCCATGACGTTAATAGAAATTTCTTCATTTTGCTAGGAGTTTTTTGAAAAAATTATAAAAATCCCCCACTACCCTCTGAATTTTACATATAAATTTTTTCCACCCCCCCCCCCCCCCCAAACCTGGCTACGCCCCTGATGAGCTTAATATTTTATGTAGATTCTGACGGACGAACATAAATTCTTCGAACTTTTAGTTTCTTCCTTATTTGAAACATTTTTCTAACGCCATTCCTCAAGAATCTTACCCTAGCGAGACTAACTAGCAAATTGCTAGTCTTTCTATTTTACTACTTGCAATTTACTAGTAATTATTAAAACAACTTACTGTTAGTAAATTACACTTCATATTTAATAGCAAATTAATAGCAAATTACTAGCAAATTACCATGTAAAATGTTTGATTAAATCTTCTTAAGTTCGAATCCTACGAAAAATCATCAAAAAAAGAATTTTTTGCGTCATAAAGAATTTTGTTCTAAATTTGGCATTTGCCATATACTTCACAAGAGCGCGCAGAAATTACCTTTATAAGGTCGATCCAAAGTTGTATGTGACATTCAATTAATTATTTATCTTCCTCAGGTTTGCGTGCGAGTCATGGGCGTTCATCAGTGTTCGACTTAATTAAATTAAGTCTTTTGCTTTTTATCATAGTGTTAGTGTACTTTAATTAACTTCAACTAAGTACACACTAATACTTTTACAATAATTTACACAAATATAAAAAATCAAAAGAACACGTGGAAATCAACGGTTATATTCATTTAATTTTTTTCCAAATTTGCTAGTAAATTACTAGTTAAATTGCAAGCGAATTGACTAGTCAAATAGCAAGTGAAAATGCGGGTCTTTGGCGATGATTTGAACTTGGATTTTGACTAGTAAATAGCAAGTAGCAAATGGAAAGTTATCTAGTGAATTACTAGGAAATTACTAGTAAATTTCTGCTAGGGTTACAATCCCACTTAAACTTAATTTCCCTAAACAATCATGATAAAAAATTTCAATCAGCAGTGAAATCACTGACAGTCCTAAACCAACGACCAAAATCCTAAGAACTGTGCTGATATCCTGCAGTTCTAAGTAGTTCCTATTAACCCCACGCTGTGTAATAACGAACTTTGAATCTTGAAAAGCCATTACTTTCCACATTTGTGGCAATCCTGCTTGAAAACACAAATCCATAAAATATTGGAACCTCTCCACAAATGGATTCAAGTAGCTTGCTTCCAACTGGATATACTGCCATGATAGCTCATCTGGTAAAAGATAATAATAATCAGAGACATGTCGATCATTTGCTAGCTTGTGACTTAAGATAATCCTAGTCTCATCGCATGTTCCTATGACTACATAACTTTGTTTAACAATATAGCCATCATCAGCTCCCATCAAAAATTCTGATGAATTTAGTCTCGATGACAATTTTTGGACTAAACTTGAATTCCTGAATGCGTACTCGAAAAGTGTATTCGAAATAAATTCATATTCTGATCTTAGTAAGTCATCAGCAGTCTTCAACCGTTTGTCAAGAGCTGGTTCAATTACAAAGGACGTAATCGCACCTTCGTATAGATTACTGAGCACGAAAAAAGATATGCAGATGACGTTGAGCAAAACAGCAAGTACAAATCGATTTTTACGCGAAAAATTAGCATTTTGTCCGATAAACATCATGAAAATGCCAGCAGTAAAGTGCCAGTGGGAATCAACAGCACCATGACCTTGATACAATCTCCAAACAGCAACGGAACTAACAATTGACACTCCAAAGAACATCCAAATGAGAGCATCGAATGGCTTGAAAAAAATAACACTGAAGTATAATGCATTTTGAGGAATAGGAATCAAGGCACAGTAGCTTTTCTTGTCATAAGTTAGAACCTTTGGATCAGTATACGGCATAAGTTTTCCAGTATTAATCGTCAGATGCATTTGTCAGTTTTTCCAAAATTTGTCAAAATGAGACACATTAAGAAGAAATGTAATGTCAAATTCAGCATTTTGTACATCTTTAATAGCTTGCAAGAAATAAAGCATCGGAGATGAAATTTTGTTGTTTTTATTAATAGTCAAAACTCCTGGTTGATAATAGATTGGTAACTTGTAACGAAAACCTTCCGCATTTCTAAGTTTGTCTGGAAAAACAGCTAATGGGTTAACCAGCGTTCTAACGTGCCTAGAAAGAGATTGTACAATTTCATAATAAACATCAACGGATGAAGCTTCGTGTGCAATTGCAACATTTAAAAATCCAAGTCCTAAAAAGTATTCAAGAGCTTGTAGTCTTTGGATTTGAGTCGATGAATTAGGTGCAATGAAGATGACTTTGGCCATGTGATGAAAAACTGTCGAGTTTCGTTGTTCAACGATGAATTTTGCAATTGAGATCTGTAAAAATAAACTTTTTAATAAACTTGTTGATTAAAGGCAGGTTTCTAGTGCTATTTTCAGCTTGGATTAAGTTTAAATGCCTCAGATAGCGCCAGAAACGAGCCACAGTTTTCTATTTTAAACTCAAAACTTAGACTAACCCCATCTATGCTATCAAAAGCCATAATTATGACTGCTGCTTTCCTCAAACCTTTTATTAAAGTTTTCTTCCTGAATTCCGTAACTACAACGGCCGTTTCATCATAAATGCATGTCAAAACCTTATTGACTGTCGTTGACTCTTTTATTGCTCTTGAATTTAAAATGAGGATGTCTTGAGTGTCTGTTGATTTACTTATGACATCATTTGTGATTTTACAAATGCTTTTT